AAGAATATGGTTGACGAGGAGTGATCTGTAATAGATTATAATAAAAGGTATACTTTTTATTTGAAATTGGTATTTTTACATTGAGAAGGTACACTGAAAAAAAATTCCTAGTTGATTTAACTACTTTTCAACTACTCTGCTTAGTTCAATAAATCCCCAAACAAATTAAAAAACTTGTATTAACCATCAAAAAGTATAATTAAAAAATGAAGAATGCAATCAGATTTTGCAGTTGTTTTTGAAATTTATAACTACATGTCTTAGTTAACTGAACTAAAAATTTTTCTCTACAAAATAAACAGTAAAATTAACTGTACAAGCAGTATTAGATTAAGTAAAAAAGTAATTAATTTAACTATTTCTAGATTACTATCCAAAGTAGTTAAATTTTTAGAAACAAAATTTTACAGTGTAGAAAACTCGCTATATATATAGAATAATTATTACGTCAAATGTTCCATCCATAAATATTTCCTGTACTTTATTCAGCTGTTGTAATAATGGTACACTTGAAAAAAGTAGCGCAATGCTACCATCTTCTGCAAACACTGGACCTATATAAATATCAGCAACTGCATCAAAATCCATTAAATCCTTTCCAAATTTATCAAAGGATTTTGATGTTGTTGGCCTATATTTTCTTCTTAGTCTTTTAATTCTTTGTCGAATATTTGTTAAAGATAAATCGACCGGTTTTCCTTTCTTTTCGAATCTGTTAAAAAAAATAAAAACAACATTTATAGAAAGATTGCTTGGAAAGTGCCTCCTATTTTACGATTTGACTCAAAACCACACGATAAATATGAATAGAGTGACATTTTTTTAAATAAAAATTAAAAATTGTGAATTTCATGATTATTCCAGAAGGTAGGGGAGAGTCTCCAGTTGTGAGACGGGTTTCATTTTTGACCCGTAAATTGTAAACGGGTAAACGAAATTGTAAATAAAATACACCGTTCGAAAGGTAACAGAAATACGCAACTTTTATTAAAAGAAAGTATAGTGTTTCGATGAACTCAAAAAATTTTACGGTACATTTTCCGAGCACATCGCTTTTTTCAAAAAAAAAAAAATGTCTCCAGTTGTGAGACACACATTAAAAATTGCTAAAATTTAATAAGTTTAACATAAAACGTTATGTTTAGTAGAAATAATTAAATATATTAATAATATATATTATTATATACTAAATAATAATATTTATTCGCCAAAATGTGACTATCAAATAGACACAATTTAATAGCTTCAAAAAGAGCATTAAAATTGATTTCTTCTGAATCAATTGACTTTTTTCCACTTGACATGCCCAAAAATACTAGAAACAAAATCAAAACATCATTTAAATAGTATGCCTGCAAAGTCGTATTTTTTATGCTGCCCAGATGGTTGTTGACACCGTCTCACAACTGGTGATATGCTGTGTCTCACACCAAGAAATTGGCGCTATTTTGAAAAAGGAAAATTAAATTATTTTCAACCGTAGATTGGAACAATGCAATATTGCATCACAAAATATAAGGAAAACACTAAAAGAAAATGCTTTACATTTACCTTTTCCAATTAATTAACTTGGAAAAAAAGTACTTTGCATTTATTGAAGAAACGCTTTTTAGTCGATTATCATACACAGTGTTGATATTTAACAAAAACAGTTTATATATCCGCTTTGGCGTACACGAAAAAGTTGGCTCATATAAAAAGAAATGTTTTTATATAAACCAATCGGCTTTTTAATATTGCATGTTAAAAAAAATTGACTGTCTCACAACTGGAGGTGTCTCACAACTGGTGACTCTCCCCTACTTTTCAAAAAAAAATGTTAACCTATGTATGAAAGGATTATAGCCATAATTATTTAAATTATACAAAAACATAACTATAATCGAAATCAATATATAAAATTAAAATAGAAATGTAATTATATCATAAAATTAATTATAGTTAATCATAAAATTAAGTAATAAATGAGTTCAGAACATGATTTATTACTATTTTCTTCCCAATTGAAAGTGTGAATAATTGGAAATGTTTTGAAATTAATTTTTTAACAATCTTTAAACGATTAGGAGTAAGATTTTGAAAGAAGACGAAGTCGAACAATGATATTTTATAAATTGAACAATATACAGGAAAAAACCACGCAATGTCAATTAATTTAATATTTTTAAAGCAGCGGGCGAAAAAACTACCAAAAGATAATCGGTCGGTAAAAGTCTATTTTCCAACAAAAATAATGTTATAGACTATATTTACTTGCGGATGACTTCATAATAGATACTCGCAGGATCCCTCGAGCTTTTCTTTGCCAATCTCATCATTTTTAAAATCGCTTGTTTGTTATTTTTATATAACCGGCTTCTCGAGCCACAAAAGCGATAATTATGGTCCGTTTTAAGCTCGTGGGTATCACCATTCTTAATTAAAACAGCCGGACAACCCTTTTTTCTTCTTGAACATCTAATACAAATAATTTATGACATCTTTAAGGATTCTTTTAATTTGTTAAATAATATTTAAATCTATAAAATAATAAAATTTTTTTTCAAAAGTTGCTTCTGTAAGCCTGAACAATGAACTGACTTTCTCTAAAATAATTAGATATACAAAAAATATTTGTTATATATTTATTTATGAATAACACAAATATTGACAAAATCTTCTCAAAATTGAATTCTTTAAGAAATCAATTACTAAAAAAAATGTAATAAAATGTTTTTGCAATTATTAAATTATTATCTCTTTAATTTTACAAAATTTTAATTATTTGAAAATTATTAAATTACATATTTTAAAAAGTTTAATTATCTGCATAAAAATTGGAATAAAATATCTCAGCAATATAGTAATTAAATAAAATTTTTGTATTATCTGCCCATTCTAAAAAATTCAATTCCGGTTGACACATAAAATGACATTGTAAAAAAATTGTAAGAAAATAGGAAAATTTCAACTAAAACACAAAATTACTTATTCGCAGATTTAAAAAAATACCTCAAAATTCGACCACCTTTATCAGGATTGAAACAATATCCTTTATAAATCACAGACATTACGACACTTGCGATTATGATAAATGATAATGTCAAAATGTCACTTAATAAAATCAATATTTTAAGAGTGTTTTTGTTTGATTTAAATTTGTTTTATCAAACTTAACCAAATATACTATTCATATAAATATTATGCACATTGCCTAAAAATAAAGTTACTCTTAAAAAATATTTAAAATATTTCAATTCTCTAGATAAAAAAAATTGTAAATAAAGAGAATTTTTTTTAAACATTTCTCAATAGCTAAACATTAATTACTCTTAATATTTTAATATTAACCACTTTAAGAGAAATTTTGTTTTTTCAGATGCTCTTAGAAACATAAATAATTCAATCGAATTTCATCTACACAATTTCCGTGAACATTTCGCTGTGTATAAATAGCGAATTTGAAAATTATTTGTAAAATTTCAAACGCAATTTTGATTGAATAATCGTACAAATAAATCGAAGACGTTTATTTTTACAAATTGTTTACAATTACATGCTTTCTCAATTTAAATTAGTTAAAAATAACTAATCTATTGGTAAAAAGTCAATCACTGATTCAAATAGTAATGTTTTATTAATGAAATAATTAATAATTATTATGTAGTTTATTTCATTATATTTTAGGTTAGACAAAAATAACAGAAGCGATTGGTACCTAAGTCAATTAACGAAATTTGTCTGATTTTACAGTTATTTATCTACTAATAATTCCTAATTATCTAGTAATTATTAGTAATTCTTTACTAATTACTAAAGAAAAAAGTTCTCCAAGACTTTACTGATAATTAGTTCTTCATATTAGTAATTTTAATTAATTATTTTGACTCAAAGGGTATCATTTTTTTTAGAAAAAATGTTTTAGTTCAATTACAGTAGTGTATATAATTTTCATTCAAGTGATATAGTGTTAAATAATATTATCCAGTAATGTTTTAGTTATACTCTCTAAACCTAAAAAACCGGTAGGTATAACACAGATTTAAATTATATACTTGTATATATGCTGTGAATTAATATTTTTTATTTTCAAACAAATGCTGTATTCATTGTTGGAATTATACCTAAATATCTTAAGAAATAATAATATTAAATAAAAATTTTTAAAAAGTCTTTAAAGTTTGCTTTTTAAAGAATTTTAATATTTTAATTAAATATGAAATTAAACTTAAATTATAATTTAATAAAATTTACTTCAATTAAAAAAAATTATAGAATTGAAACTATTAATTTAACAGTTCAATTCTTTTTATTTTATACTTTTAAATATATTTAAGCATTTTAAATATACGCGGTTTTTTCTATTAATGAGAGAATTAAAATGGCGCAAGCGCTGTTACTCTTAGTGACGGTTGTTGGCATCTCTGACTCGCTACTTTTTACCTCCCTGGGAATTACCGACTGAAAAACGAAATTTTTAATATGTGACATTTTATCAAAAAACAAAAGACCATCTTCTTTTTTTGTTAAACGTTTATTTACGAAAATTTGTCAAATCGTGATATTCTTTGTGTCAAATTGATTTTGATTTTTTTATCAAAAAACAAAAGACCATCTTCTGCTTTTTTTTGTAAAACGTCTATTTACGAAAATTTGTCGAATCGTGATATTCTTTGTGTCAAATTGATTTTGAGAAGCTTTAATTTGTGGTGAGTACTTAAAAAAGTTATTATTTATATTACATTATTTATAATATTCAAACATATTTATTTTCTTTTTTCTAATAAACTTCTAACCTTTTTAAATTTACAGATCGTGTCTAATGTTTAATTTCTTTCTTTTCTAGATCAAAATGATTCGTTTACCTGGTAAATTCAAAAACACCTTCAAATTTGTCTACCAGGACTATTTATATTATTCAGTAAAGGAGTCTGAAAATAAATATAGATGTGCGAATTTTAGATTACCCTGTTCAGGGTCAGTCGTTGAAAAAAATAATGAAATTGAGGTAACCTGCAAACATTCTTCAAAATGTGAACCGTATTCTAATTACGTAAACGACTCAAAATGCTGGGAAGAAGCCATACTTCTTGCCGGAACAGAAAAAAGTAGAAAGTTCAAAGATATTGTAAAATCCTGCAATGTTAAGTAAGTAAAATTAAAAATGACATATATTTCCTTTTCAATATGAGTTTTATATATATGTTTATCTATTCTATCTATTTATATAAATCATTCAACTTAATCTAACCTATAAATTTGACTTTTATTTAATCAGGGTTGCCACATGTCAGGAAAATTAGGGAAAAGTAAGGAATTTTTATTAAAAGTATTTGAAAAAAAATTTTAACGCAATTATCGCTTAATAAATAACAAAATTCTTCACAGAAATTCAATTACTTTTAGGAATTTTAATAAAATTCTTTGCGAAATTTTAATTATTTTCAAAAATTTATCACAATAAAAAAAATTTTAATATTTACTATTTTCATAAAATTTATAAAATAATTTAACTATTAAAAAATTTTTTTGATACAATTCAACAAAAACATTCCATTATTTTTATAAAAAATGTTATTTAGTAATTTAATTATTTTCATTACAGATTTTCAAGTATTTTTAATATTATTTAAAATAAATTCCTTTTTAAAAAGTAATAACATACTTTGCAGAAAATAAATTATTTTCAAAAGCTTTTAAAAATTCTCGTCAAGAATTAAATTGCCTTTATAAATAAACAGTGAAATTGGTATAAAATTCTTTAATATAAGAAATTTCAGTAAAATTTTAATTAAATTCCTTAAAAGAAATTAATTATTTTCAAAAGTTGTTAATAAAATTGTTCGTAAAAATTAAATTTTAAGAAACATTCAATTATTTAAAAAATTATTTATTTTTATATTTAAAAAATTATTTATTTTTATATTTAAAAATGAATTTCGGTTAAAATTTGATATAATAATTTAATATTAAAAGCATTATTGCGTGAATTTTAGGAAATAATTGAATTTAAATGATGAAAATAATTTCGAAAAAGTAAAAATAAATCCTAAATTCTATAAAAAATTAACAATGATTAAATATTTATTTAAAAAAATAATTTATTCTTGTTTTCGAATAATTTTACAATTAATGAAATTCGTAAATAAATGTAATAAATCATGTTTCTTAGTATATGATCATTTTTAGAGTAAACCAGAATATTCTTTAGGGTTAGAAAAAAAGCCAAAATTCTGCCTAGAAATCAGGGATGAGTCAGAGAAAAACAGAGTTAAATTTTTGTTGCAACCCTGTTACTTATTTTTTATTTATGTTTAAGATTTAATACGTAATTTTTTTTTATATAATTCCACCTAAGAACCCTTTCCTATTCGCTTAATAGTACCTTCAATATTTTTTAAATAGGTATAAAGCGGACGTGTCTTATGATGCACTATACAGTCATATGTATAAAGCCAGATGCGGTCAATTGCCTGAACCAAAGGACTTAGCTAGTCTCGGGGAGGAATTAAATAAACTAATTAAATATGCAGACGACAGAAGCAATCAAGATGACGCAGAAAAAAATATAATACAAACATATTTGAGTCGCATGAAAGCCAGCAATGAGAAAATCGCCTTCCTATTTGGCTCGAAAACTTCACTGTTAAATGCGAAAACACTCTACATTGATATTGGATTGACGGTAATGTTCAAAAAGTTTTACGATAAAGTTTTTTTTTAATTCTAACTTATATTAATTCCATAAGTTTTAAATGCCTTACACTGCAAAAAATATTTAAATAAATAAACAAAAAAAATTTGTTTGAACAGGCCACGAAAATATCAAGAAAAGGAAAATAGATTTTGAAAATTATGAAAAACTCTGTCACTTTATCAAAAGTACTGCAAAATATCAAATTTTTAAAAATTAAATAATTCTATTTCCTAATGTTCTTTAAAAATATTAAAAACCTTAAATTGTCATTAAATTATCATTTCTCACATTAAAAACTTTCAAATTATCAAAAATTGTAATAGAAAATATAAAATTACTTTATTATTTCTGCCAAAAATTTAATTTTCAATGTATTTTAAATGAATTTTTTTGATAACTAAATTTACAAAGAACTTCTTGAAATGATTAGAAATAATTTACCTAACAAAAAATATAATTTAAAAATTGTAAAAAAAATTTCATTTTCAAAAATTTTTATAAATATAGAATTTTAAAGTTAAAACTTTTTTAAATCAAAATTTAAGTAGATCAAATCAAAATTTTTGAAAATATTTGATGTGGAAAAATAATTATAATATTTTTTAATATTTGAGGCATTCCATTTCAAATCGTTCCACCGACAAAACACAATCGTAAGGAGAGCGATTTTCTAATAAATATAATTATTTAAAAATTTAATTATTTGTAACATATTATACACTAAATTGAAAGAGAATTTCATGAACTTTCTAATGCTATTTTTATTTTTTTAAATTTTTCTCAATTTCGTAGAAAAATTCCTGTTTGAAAGTTTAAACTCTTAATATCTCAAAACACCCCCCCGTCGATTTAAACTTTCAAACAGGAATTTCTCTACGAAATTGAGAAAAATTTAAAAAAATAAAAATAGCATTAGAAAGTTCATGAAATTCTCTTTCGATTCATTGTATAATATGTTACAAATAATTAAATTTTTAAATAATTATATTTATTAGAAAATCGCTCTCCTTGCGATTGTTTTTTGTCGGTGGAACGATTTGAAATGGAATGCCTCATTTGTTTTAAAAAGTAAGTAAACTTTTTAACAATTTTAAATTAAAACTAAAAAAATAGGATTTTTGAAATTTAAGGTTTTAAGGTTGTTAAATTTGTTGAAAACATTTAATTAAAAACATAAAAAAAATAATTTTTTTTGTAAACAATTGAATAGATGAAATAATTTTAAATTCCCACTCTTCACTAACGTCCCATTTAAAATTATAGTCCTTAGATAAATAAAATATAATTTTCCCAGTGTAATGTAACGTTAATTTAGTAATTACAGGCATTAAAAAAGATATTCAAATAATTTTGTAACTTTATTTTTAAATAACCTGTAGCTTTTTTTTTATTGTTTTTAATTTTCTGTATATTTTTATCTTGGTTTCTCTTTAATTAACTTTTAAATGTAACAAATTTTTTAATTTGTAGTTAAAGGTGAAGGAATCTAATGTCAACGTAATTTCATTTATGGTGGAAAAGGAGAAAAGAGTAAGTAATTTGAAAATGTAAATAAATTTAAAACTTTAGAATATTAGTAGTATAGAAAATATATTATATTGTATATAATTTAATGTAGAATTATATTATTATTATCATATCTCACACTCTGTTATACTGATAGTTATACGGAATAAAATATAAAGCAAATGTATATGTAAATATTACATCGATTACTATTTCAGGCCGCTGTTGTAATGTGCGTCTTATGCGAGGATGTAAATGCAGAGCTTTGTAGGAAAATTTTGGAAAAAATTGGAAATTTAAAGAAAAATACTAACATGAATTCCGACGTTCGAATGTTGAAAACATTGGATGCAATCGCTAATGAACAAGATGAGTCTGAGGGCATCTTAGAGGAATCGTTCAAAACCATTATTGGACCATACAATTTAATACTCATAGAAGCAGTGAAAAAAGTATGGCCAAATACAAAGTATTATTTGTCCCTGCACGATTTTCATCAGGTAATTTTTTACTGTGTTAACTATTTGTTGAATAAATTGAAGGTTAAGCTATTTAATTGCAAAGATAACTTAGCACTAAGCGCAGAAAATTTAGCAATTTGAGTGCAAGAAAACAGGGTGTCTATTATTTTCGTTTAAAAAAATTCCCGGTTTTTTGTCGGCTTTGTCATAATTTTTTCCGTTTTTTTATACAAAATTTTTTTTCCGGTTTTTTTCTCATCAACTTTAAATTTATTTGATTTCGAACATAAAAATCTACAAATGGCTTCAAAAATTTTTATTACAGCTTTTATGAATAATTAAATTCTTTTGATGAATTTCTTTAAATTTTTTGAGAATGTTTTTTTAATAATTTTAAATAAAAATTTGAAAAATAATTAAATTAAACAAAAATTTTTAAAAAATTTTTTAAAAATAATCTTGTCTCTTTATAATTATAATTAAAAATTTAATTTTTCAATTTCATTAACATTATATTTATAATTGAATTTCTGCAAAGAATTTTACTATTTATAAAAGTAATTGAATCCTTCCAAAAATGTTATTATTTATAAAAATAATTTAATTCTTACGAAGAATTTCATTAAAATTTTTGACAATAATAAGCAGTAATAATTAATTATTTACTTAATAAGTAATAAAAATTCAATTTGCTCAAGAAATAAATAAATATCATTTCTTTAAACATTCAGAAACTTTAAATTATAAAAATTTAAGAGAAGTTTAATAATTATAATTATTAAATAATAATATAATAATTTAAAAATATAATATTCAGAAACAAAAAATTAATTTAAAACTTTAAGAGGGACTTTATATTTTAAAAGTAAAATTATAATTACGGTCACTAACTTCCCTTGATTATTTTCGAAAAATTTAAATAAATTTCTTTAAAGAAATTCAATTATTTTTAGTAAGATATAAGGAAATTTCAATTAATTCAAAAAGATTTCAATTATTTGTTCATAAAAATTCAATTATCTTAAAACAATAGAATTTAAAAACTTCAAAAATCTTATTATTCAGAATTTTAAAAAAAAACTTTACAAAAATTCAATTTTAATAAACAATTTTATAAGTGTGTATCTTTTTTTAAATTAACTAATAGAACTTTTAATTATCAATCTTCGAACTAAGATACATGAATACATTAGAAATGTGTGACTATAAAATTCAATTATTTATCAATTATATAGAATAATATAAATATAATTCGATAATTTTTTAAAAATTGATTGACATATACTTTTTTTCTCGGTCAAATTAAATTCCGGGCTATTTCTGGATTAGTAGACACCGTGAGAAAAGTTTATTTTCTTCAAAAACATTTCTTACTAGTAAAATATTCTTCAATGTCCGAGATCCTTTATAAAATAAGGAAAATAAAACGAAAACTTTCGTACAATGAATAAAATTATTTATTTACTCCAACTCTAACAAGTCAAAAATTAGAAAGTAAAATATACGAAGACTTAAATTTTATGCCCTGACGATGGAATAAAGTCATAAATAAATAATCCGTTTTTGTATAAAGACAATTAATAAATAATAAATAACACATAAATAATAACCAATAAATAAATAAAAGTGCACAATACAATAATATCAAAAACATTGTTCCGCCTATTTGAAGAAGAAGAAGCGACACAAACTAATTCTTAAAAATTTCTAAATTCCCTTTTTATAAAATGAACGAATTCAGAAAAATTATTCTCCTTCAGTCGCTTAGCGTCTTTCAGTAAAAATTATATCTCATAATTAAAATCGTTCTCTTTTAAAAAGAGTAGAACTAAGGATTTTGCCAGCAAAATTGAAAGCAAAACTTGTTAATTTTTGACCCCCTAAAGAGGAAATCATTCAGATTTCGAAACGTTGGAGTAAATAAATTTTGTATTTAATGTCTAAATGTTTTCCTTTATTTGCTAACAATTTTTAATGTTGAATATTAAAGTTGATACTTTATACTAAAATTTTATTCTTTGCATTAAGGCGAATTGACTGGTCTATAAGTTTCAAATTATATTAGAAACTTGGAAAATTAATTACAATTAATATCAAATTTTCTCTATTTTACAGATTTTAAAAACGAAATGGTGCAGCTTGGAAAATGACAAATCGATTCCAAGTAATTTGTTGGCGAAATCCTTAGCTCTGCCTTTTTTAGATGCCCAAGACTTCAATGTTGGGCTAAAAATATTAATGAAAGACGCCAAAAAACTGAAAGAGAAGAGTTTTTCTGAATTCGTATACTTTATAAAAAAGGAATTTCAAAATTTTGAAGAATTAGTTTGTGTTGCTTCCTCTTCTTCAAGTAGGCGAAACAATGTCTTCGAAATCTCTTTACTGAGATTAGAAAAAAAAATTACGACCCAAAAAAGTCTCAAAACTCTTTGGACTTTAGTAGGTAAATTTAAAACTACATAATATAATCTAAAAAAATCATTCCAAACATTAGGTACAGTGAAACCTGTAGGAATGCAACTGAATTTTTTAAATTTTATTACAGTAAACAATCCTTAAAAAATTGTTTTATAATTTAATTTTGTAATAATTTTATAACATTTTGAAATTAAGCGAAATTAATTTTTGTTAGACATTTTTGAATGCAAATAAATTTAAAAAATAGAGTTGCATTCCGGCAGGTTTGACTGTATTTGAAAATCATGTGTCTAATATTATATTTTGTATTACATTTAGAACATCTGACATCATTTCTAATCGCAGAAGAAGAAAAACTGCAGAATTTCTTAAATGGAAAATTTGTTCGAAATTTTTCTGCAGTTAATGATCTCTTCACAACTAACAAAATCCAAATAAATTCAGAGTCATTGAGCCTCAAGGCTAAAATCCGAAAAATTACAAAGGGTTTAGAGGATTATGCTCATTGTCCGAAAAGTAATTTAAAATTTTATTTTTTATGAATCCTTCTGTCTCATCAGCCAGGGCTCGAACTAGGTCCGTAAATTCCGTACATTTGTTTAAAGTCCGTAAAAGTCAAATTTTTTTAAAAACAGTCCGTGCAGGAATTCAATTATTTCCAAATTTCTTCGCAATAATTCAATTATTTTCATAAATAACACAAAATTTTTACGATTCAATTATTTTTGTAAATAATTTTTATTAATTTAGGAATAATTTTTAGAAATTCAATTATTTTCATAATTAATAAAATTTTCACAGGAATTTAAGTTCTTTCAAACCAAATTTTCATAAAATGTTTTGTAAAAATTATTTAAAATGATTTTTATAAAATTCTTCCCTAGACTTTAATTAGTTAAAAAAAAAGTAAATAAATTTCTTCGAAAGAATTCAATTATTTTTGAAATATTTTATTAAAATTCACTGCAAGAATTCAATTATTTTTAAAAAATTTAATAAAATTCTTCGTATTAATTAAATTATTAAAAAAAATGTTTGATAGAAATCTAAGCAAACATTTAATTATTTTCATAAATAATAAAAATTCCACGCAGTAATTCAATTATTTCCAAATTTTTTATAAATTTCTTCACAATAATTCAATTATTTTTAAAAATAATATAAAATTTTCACAGGGATTCAATTAGCTTTATAAATAATAAAACTCATTACAGAATTTCAATTAGTTATTAATTTTTGTATTTAAATAATTTAATTCTTTAAGAATTTTCGAATAAAAATTAATTTAAAAATGAATTACAGTTAAAATTTCAGATAATAATTGAATATTAAAACCATTATAGTGAGAGTTCTAAGAAATTATTGAATTCTAAAAAGGTTTAAACTTAAAATCTTTGGAAGTTTAAATTTTTTATATTTTTAACTAACTTTTCTGTGAAATTAATTTTTTTTAAAAGGTTAATTGAATTTTTTTTAAATTTGTTGAAGTTATTATTTTCTAATATATATTTAATTGAAGAATTTACAAATAATTGAAATTTCGTAATATTGGATTGTAAACAAATGGATTTGAAAATTCTCAAAGAACTTTTTTGAATATTATTAAAAATAATAATTGATTTAAAAAAGAATTTTAGTTAAAAATTGTAGAAAATAATAATTGAATTGAAATAATGAAAATAGTTTTGAAGATGTTCCAGTAACAATATATTGTTATAATATAAAAAATGATTTTATCAGTCGGTCATTTTTAATTATTATAAAACATTAAGAAATCGATGTTTTAGAGTGATTGATATCTTCATGTTTTCTAGTTTTGAAATGAAAAAGTTTAATAATTTTAAGTAAACTATTCTCTTATTTGACTCTGCCTGGTTTTTTGTCAGTAATAAATCTGTAATTTTTTATTTTTAGTCTATGAAGCCCGTGTTTTTATATACTTTGACTGATTTGAGCCCTAGGAAACCTAGACACACTTTCTCTTTTAAAATGCAATAAATTATTTAAAAAATAGCCTTCAGTAATTTGTTGACAAAAGTCCAATTCTAATAATATAGATTACATCAATTTAATATTGTATTACAGATGAACACAGAAAATTTCAAGGTGGTGGCTTATCCATCGCAGAAATCGCTCCATTGATAATCTACGAAGAAGAAGATGTAGGAAGAGGCGAAGGTTAATTTTTACAAACTATTTTTTAATTGAAGAAAATAATATTTTTATTATTATTTATTTATTATTATTTTATTTTTATTATTACATTATTTTTGAAGGAGTAAATTATTTTGGATTTAGAAAACTTTAATAAATAGTTTCTTATCTATATTTTCTAAACAGATAATTAATTATATACATTCTTCTTACCAATAGCACAATTCAATGAGACTGTTCTTCCTTCTGCTGATGACGAGCCTTCTGCTGTTGACGAGCCATCGACATCTACAGGCATTACTGAGAAGACAAGGAGTCGTGGAAGAGGTCGTGGAAAAGGAAGAGGAAAAGTTACAGAAAGCGAGAGAGAAATGGATAAAAAAGGAAGAGGAAGACCAAGAGGAAGAGGAAGAGGGAGAGGAAAAGGAAGAGTCAAGAACATCACAGTTTTTGATGTAGAAAGTAAAAAGGGTAAATTATTACAATAACTAAATAATATAAATATCGTTTACTAATTGAAGCCTTCTTTTATCGAAAATTTACAAACTCGGTTTTTTAACTCTTACATGGTTGCCACACAACCTGGAAAACCTGGAAATAGCATGGAAATTGAAAAACAGTATGGAAAACCTGGAAATAGTATGGAATTTGAACGAATTTCTGGAATTTTTTTGGGTTAATGAAAGATATTAAGAAAAATTCCATTTAACATGTTATTTTTCTTTAAAAATGTTAACATGCAATTTTCCTTTTCCATGTTATCTTCGCTTTAAATTAATTTAATTTTTCTTTTTAATTATTGATTGAACTGTGGAAAATGTTGTTAAGATTGTTCTAAAAAAAGGATTTTATGTCTTTATTAGTATTACGATTGTCAAAATTTTTTGTTACCAGTTTCTTTTTGTTCAAGATTTTGAACAAAGTTTAAAGATGAAAATTATTTAATTTAGACATGACTTCAATGTTCTAATTATGGCTGATTCTTCTGAAAGTGACATTTTTTATATCTCGTTTAATTTTATAAAATCTACTCTCTAATAATATTATTAACCATTTTCATAGTAAAAATTTAGTATTTACTTATCATTAAAAAAATTAAACAATTTTATTTAACTGAATTTATGAAACAGCTAAAATAATGTCATCTCCAAAGTCTTTTTAACATGTCCCCAATAGGACTTCTATAAGAAAACTAAATTCACGATGATTAATAATGTTTTTATACATTAAAAATATTTTTTAAAAATAAGAATGCACATTAAAATAAAGTTAAAGGTCTGATGTTTAATTTTTCTATATATATATTATATATAAAAAGGAGGAAAATTATTGCTTTTATAAATATTCAAATTTTACATATTGGCCCGAGTAAAATTCAAAGAAGAAAAACTTTAATATTTTCAAATTAATTTTGCGCAATTTAAATTCTTACTCTTGAGTATGAAATAAAGCAGTTTGAATAGAAAAAACCATAATAAAAATAAATTGAAAAATCGAATATCAAAAGTATTACTTTCAGAAAAATAAACATAAAAATGCCTGTAATTTTAACTGTTTAAGAAAACATTAATTTATAACTACATAATAATGAATATTGTTAACACTGTTTTGTAAAATACTTGTTTTTCATCACAAATAATTCCTAAATTTTAACCTGGAATTTTTAATATTTTTAACCTGGAAAACCTGGAAAAAGCCTGGAATTTTGAAATCTAGATTTTGTGGCAACCATGTCTTATTTTCTTAATATTTTATTTATTTATTTATTTTATTTTTATTTATTTTATTTTATTTTATTTCTTAATCTTTCGACTCCTTTTATTACATTTTTTCAGCCATAAAAATAGGTTTATCTAATAAGTAATTTTTTATATTACGCAGGATCATCACCATCGAAATCGTCATCATCTTCGTCATCATCTTCGTCATCATCTTCGTCATCATCTTCGTTATCAACTTCGTCATCCGTGTCTTCATGTAGTAGTAAAGAGTAATTTTTAAGCATATCATTTAGTTTATAATTTTTTTCATTCATCGTTTTCTTTAGTAATTTTTTTTCATAAAAATTTATGATTATATTATATTATATTATATTATATCAGATTAAAAATTACGTTTATATTGAAATTTTTAAGTATTTTATTTTCACTTACCTTTCTTCTCTTTGCTGAGATATCTTCAGAATTTCTTTCAGAAGATCCAAAACCTGAACGTTTCTATTATTATCGGATATTAGGTCATTGTTGTTAAAAAAGAAGCTACCTAAATCACAACATTCTCTAAAAAAAGTTCATAATTCGTTTCTGAAAGGTTAGCTTTTTTGCATGCACTGTACGATGGATTCACCTTGTCCAGATACAGTTGCTGCAAAAAATCGTGCGAACTGAGAAACCGCAATTGTTGCTACCATAACTATCCTCTTGTGAGAGGAAAAACTACTTAAAAAATCTTCCAGTAACTACAATTTACCTACTTTTACTACATCAACAATAAACCACGAGAACCAAACAATTATCTGAGTTGTTCCTGAACATTTTCAGTAATATATGCGAAAATGACTTCGAGTGATATTCACTACAGTATTTTATCATCACGCATAATCATCAGGTAATTTACATTCTTTTATAGATCTATTTAAATTTATAATGGAAAAATATTACATTTAAATCTCGCCATAACGATCTTTTCTATAACTAATAACAAGGGCTTTGTCTCTCGGTTTAGTGAGATAAGTTTCCTCCAAACTACCTTCACATTTTATAAACAAAGATGCATTCTGTTTGTTTAAATTTTGTTAAAATCAATTTTATTGATATAATTTGCATTAAAAGTCATTTATTATATGAGATTATATCAATGAGTCGAATGAAGCATCTCAAAAGATAGGGTATTTCATTTTTCCTCTAGCCTTCATTATGTAATTTAATTCTCGTTCTTTTCAGAGAAAAGAGCAGGATACAAGGACTATTACAGAGCATAATTCATCCTTTTTAAGAGTAAGTGAATTATTCTTCAAATGCGATAAGCAGATGAATTACGAGTTTTGATGAACCATTTCTGTCGAGAGGCAAACAACTAAGGATTTTGGTGTACATCTAATACAATAATTCAGGATAATTTAGGATAATTCAGATAAATCAGGTTAATTCAGATAATTCAGGATAATTTTTAGTAATTCATGGTAATTTACGGTAATTCACGGTCATTCACAGTAATTCAGGATAATGCATAGTAATAGAGGGGCAAACAACGAAAGATGTTGGTGTACACCTAATACAATAATTCAGGATAATTTAGAAAATTCAGGTTAATTCAGATAATTCAGGATAATTCTTAGTAATTCATGAAAATTCACGATAATTCAGGTTAATTCAGGATAATTCTTAGTAATTCATAGTAATTCACGATAATTCAGGATAATTTAGATAATTCAGGTTAATTCAGATAATTCAGGATAATTCATGGTAATTTATGGTAATTCACGGTAATTCACAGTAATTCAGGATAATGCATAGTAATCGAGGGGCAAACAACTAAGGATTTTTGGTGTACACCTAATACAATTTCAGGATAATTCAGGTAATTCAAGGTAATTCACGGTAATTCATGATAATTCAGGATAATTCAACACATGTATACACCATAATTCATTAGTTGTTTGCCCCTCGATTTCTGTTTCATTTATTCACAACGAAATCATCACTGATCGATAAACTGCAATTGACATTACAGTCATAGTTGTTAAAGAAAAAAGAAGGTGTCAAGGAATTAAAGTCTACAAGAAAATACTTCTACTATTACTGCAAGGTGCTACTTCTTTTCTTCAGTTTACGAAGAAAGATGTTCTTTAAACGCAATGACAAGAGAAAATTACGACTCCTCGGATAAATAATTTCTCCAAAATTTTCCCTAACAAAATTAATGAATGCGCAGAAAGAAAAGGGAGTATAAAGAGAAAGAAGCAAATCTAAATCGATACATTCTCTGAGAAAAAATGGCACAATTCGTTTCTGAATGGTTAGCTTTCTTGCATGCACTGTACGATTGATTCACCTTGTCCAGATACAGTTGCTGCAAGAAAATCGTGCGAACCGAGAAACTGAAATTGCTGCTAACTCAACTGCTTACCTGTGAGGGGAAAGGATACTCAAAAATTTTTCTAGTTGCTGCAAAACTACTACCTTTACAACATCAACAATTAACGCGAGGACCAATCAACTGTCGGAGTTGTTCATAAAAATTATACAGTAATTCATTTCAAATAGCATTAGATTGACATTGGTTGCAGTTTATGAATATTCGTCTTGCACAGGTAATTTACATTCATAGATCAATTGTAACTTAACAATGAAAAATTATTGCTTTATCAACAAAAATTTCTGATCAACTTTGAAATACTAAATTCCTATTATTTTTTGTTTAAAAAATGCATTCTTTTTAGAAAGAGAACAGAATACTTCTACTGTTACTGCAAGCTGCTACTTCTTTTCTTAAGTTTACGAAGAAAGATGTGCTTTCAACGCAATGACAAGAAAAATTACGAATCACGGATAAGTAACTTCTGCAAAGTATTCCCTAACAAAAATAATGCACGAGAATAAAGAAAAGAATGTCTAAGGAGAAAGAAGTAAACCCAAATCGAAATAATCTTTGAAAAAAATGGCACAATTCGTTTCTAAAAGTTTAGCTTTCTGCATGCACTGTACGATGGATTCACCTTGTCCAGATACAGTTGCTGCAAGAAAATCGTGCGAACCGAGAAACTGAAATTGCTGCTAACTCAACTGTTCACCTGTGAGGGGAAAGGCTACTCAAAAAATCTTCGAGTAACTGCAAAACATCTACCTTCACAACATCAACAATAAACGCGAGGACCAATCAACTGTCGTAGTTGTTCATAACAATTTTACACTAATTTATTCCAAATAGCATTTGATTGACATTGGTTGCAGTATATGAATATTCGTCTTGCACATTCATTAACAGGTAATTTACATTTATAGATCAATAGTAACTAAACAATGAAAAATTATTGCTTTATGAATCACTATTTCTGTACAATTTTGAAATATTTAATTCTTTTTTGTTTTTATGTAAAAGAAACTTATTCCTTTTAGAGAAACAACAAAATACTTCTACTATAACTCCAAGCTGCTACTTCTTTTCTTCAGTTTACGAAAAAAGATGTTCATAAAACGCAATGACAAGAAAAATTACCACTCCTCGGATAAATGATTTCTACAAAATTTTCCATAACAAAATTAATGAATGCACAGAAAGAAAAGGAAGTGTAAAGAGAAAGAAGAAAATCTAAATCGATACCTTCTCTGAGAAAAAATGGCACAATTCATTTCTGAATGGTTAGCTTTCTTGCATGCACTGTACGATGGATTCACCTTGTCCAGATACAGTTGCTGCAAGAAAATCGTGCGAACCGAGAAACTGAAATTGCTGCTAACTCAACTGTTCACCTGTGAGAGGAAAGGCTACTCAAAAAGTCTTCGAGTAACTGCAAAACATCTACCTTGACAACATCAACAATAAACGCGAGGACCAATCAACTGTCGGAGTTGTTCATAAAAATTTTAGAGTAATTTATTCCAAATAGCATTCGATTGACATTGGTTGCAGTATATGAATATTCGTCTGGCACATTCATTAACAGGTAATTTACATTCATATATCAATTGTAACTTAACAATGAAAAATTATTGCCTATATCAACAAAAATTTCTGATCAACTTTGAAATACTTAATTCCTATTAGTTTTTGTTTAAAAAATGCATTCTTTTAAGAGAGAGAAGAGAATACTTCTACTATTACTGCAAGCTGCTACTTCTTTTCTTAAGTTTACGAAGAAAGATGTTCTTTAAACGCAATGACAAGAAAAATTACGACTCCTCGGATAAATAATTTCTACAAAATTTTCCGTAACAAAATTAATGAATGCGCAGAAAGAAAAGGAAGTGTAAAGAGAAAGAAGCAAATCTAAATCGATACATTCTCTGAGAAAAATGGCACAATTCGTTTCTGAATGGTTAGCTTTCCTGCATGCACTGTACAATGGATTCACCTTGTCCAGATACAGTTGCTGCGAGAAAATCGTGCGAATCGAGAAACTGAAATTGTTGCAAACTCTACTGTTCACCTGTGAGGGGAAAGGATACTCAAAAAGTCTTCGAGTAACTGCAAAACATCTACCTTGACAACATCAACAATAAACGCGAGGACTAATCAACTGTAGGAGTTGTTCATAAAAATTATACAATAATTTATTCCAAATAGCATTAGATTGACATTGGTTGCAGTTTATGAATATTCGTCTTGCACAGGTAATTTACATTTCCCAGTAAAAAAAGAAGTATTCAGTGGAGCGTTTAGGAATTGAGTGAAGCTCTGAGCCAATACGGATTCGAGTAAAAACCGTATTGGGACGTTTGACTCAATCTTTTTTTCATCCGCCGAATACGGTCTTATTTTAGCATTAAAATTAAAATCACATGAGCAGAGTACACATTATAAATTGAAAGCACAATTGTCCTGGAATGTAAAAATGTCGATTTAGATAAGAAGCAGTGAATATTTGTTAAAAATTGGTAAAAGCAAAGTTTGACAAGCGCAACTGAATTTACCATGTGAATAAATGAAGTGGTAAGTTTAAATGGACGAAATGGACTAAAAGAAATCTACTTTTACCGACAGAAAGTTCCTAGAGAATTGTGGTAAATTTAACAAACAATAAAATTTGTCATTGTTTTACAATTCTCTAGGAACTTTCTGTCGGTAAAAGTAGATTTCTTTTAGTCCATTTAAACTTACCACTTCATTTATTCACATGGTAAATTCAGTTGCGCTTATCAAACTTTGCTTTTACCAATTTTTAATAAAAAATAAAAAATATTCACTGTTTCTTATCTAAATCGTCATTTTTACATTCCATGACAATTGTGCTTTCAATTTATAATGTGTACTCTGCTCATGTGATTTTAATTTTAATGCTAA